TTTCCTTTTACAAATAAAAACTTGGTATTCAGATAATTTGAAAGCAACTTCTTCAAGGTTATAAAATAAAAGAAGCTGAGGCCAGATAAAATCCATCATCTGCTTATCTGGAAGTCTGTGCTTTTTCTACATCAACCCTTTCGATGGTGATAGGTCCTTAAACAACAAAACAAATAAAAAATAAATTTGATCAACAAAAACATAATTGGAAGAATAAACTATGTTTTAAATTCAATATATGAAACAAGATATTTTATGAGTAAACCAAGATACATAATACATATTAGCGTTCAAATAAAAAGAAAATGGTCTTTGACTTAAGTTAGGTTGTAATTGGCTCTATGTGTGATCTTCGGCAAGTTCCTGAGTATCTCTGAGTCTGATTTCTTTATTTGTAAGAAGAGTATATTAGTTATCATAGATTTATGTGACCAAGACTAAACATTGAGATGACAAAGGATAGTGGCTACAAATCCTCACCTAATAAGTCCTGCACTTCTAACAGAGTGACACTGAGTCTGTAAAGGATGTTAACAAATATATTATTGCAAATGTTTCAATTTTTCACAAATTACTAAGGAAAAAAACACAACTGCCTATAATCCCTACCCAGTGCTTCAAAATTTCCTTAACTGTTATATCTTAGTAAAAATCTGATATAGATGAAAAACAGCTAGTGTACAAAGAACAAAGACTAGAGTTGGTGGTTAGAGAAGTGGAGGGGAGATTCAGGAATCCTAAAGGAAAACACCCCACAAAGTCAAAATACTACCCAAGCCTTTGGAAAGACTTGCAAGTAACCTTACTAATCACAACTGTTTCTATTATCTATTGGCCACAAGCATACTTTAGGCCTTTATCTAGGGTAGATTGCCATGAATGTTTATCCCCTTTCATATCTTGACTGGTTTTATGTATTCCCTAATCCTCTGAATTTGCTATAGGAAAAGTACAAAGGTTGTACTTGGTAAGAATCCAGTAATGCTGTACTTCTAGATGTGGCTTGGGCATGTGTTTATTTTTTCACATCTCTATGCTTTTTTCACATGTTTGGCGTGTTTTCCTTCTTCTCTAACATGCATTGCTTCTCATCTTCCCAGACACAGCTCAAATGTCAACTCCTGAGGCCATTAGTACTTCCCAAAGCAGGGTTGGTTCTACCTAACCATGTTTCCAGAGCACTAGGTATTCACCTTTACTTTCTTCATTGCAATGTAATTAATTTAGACTGCTTGTTTCTCATACTAGATAGTAACTTCCCCGAAGGGTGTATGTTTACATTCTCAATGACTAAGCATCATTCTACTGTTTTTGCTATAAAGGTCTACCTTATTCAATAATTCAACCTGTCTAGAGAAGCAAGTAGAAAATTAAATGTGCTTAAGAATATCATCTCTTCATCAGTAGGAAGAAATTGATCCCCTCATGACTTAAAAAAAAAATCCTCACTGGAGGATATGTTTATAAGTTTTATTAGAGAGGAGGGAGGGAGAACAGCGTGGGCGGGAGGGGGGTGTGGGGGGAAGACAGAGAAGAGAGAGAGAGAGAGAGAGAGAGAGAGAGAGAGATACATCTATGTAAGAGAGAAACATTGATTAGCTCCCTCACGTATGCACCCCAACTAGGGATCAAATCCAAAACCTTTTGGTGTATAGGATTATACTCCAATCAATAGAGTCACCCAGCCTGGGTGAATTTCTGGTTATGTATTGAGCATATCAGTTTTAAAACCTTTAGTAATTAGCATTTTCTGAAAGGAACTTCAGATTTCCCACTCTAAAGGGATAACTTTATGATTGGTCATACAACCAACCAATCAGTAACTGAGCCAGTAGATTTGAGCAAACATCAATCTCCTAATTTTACATACTGCTTTAATGATGTCAACACACCCTTATTGGGCCTTCATCCACAGAGAGAAGTTACCATTCCGTTGTTCTGCAGAGAGGAATAGAGGAACTGAGGTCTGTATTTATAATACCTAAATAATGTAATACCATGGCTTACAAAAAGAAAAGGCCTCTAACCAATGCTCTATGGTCAGATTATGTAGCTTATCAGTGCCTTACATGTAGTAAATTACTCTGCCTATTATTTATCTTTTGAGTGGTACTAACTGTTAGGTCTGATCAAATAATCAAAGCAATACCCTCTCCCCTGAGAAACTGACTTTTAGACTATTTCCCAACCGACATTCCCTTTCACTTAAACCACATTCCATTTGCTAAAACCATTTGCTAACTTTCCCTTCTGGACTTGCCCAGGATCCTCTGTCATCTTAACACACTTGGCTTTTCCACAAAGGACCTGACAAAGCACCTTATCTTTTATTTTAACACTGCCTGGCCACAATATAAATTAGACAATGATTCACATTGGCCTGAGAATGAAACTTGCGATTTTAACATTCTCTGGGGCTTAGACCATTTCTGTCACCACAATGGGAAATGCTCAGAGATCCCCTATCACTAACTCTTTCACAGTGTCTTTAATAAAGGTAACCTGTATTTTACAGATTAAAGATAGAGTGGATAAGCATCAAACCTTAAAATCTGAGATGTTACTGTCAAGTTTCTCATTTAGTTTGGGAAGTATAATATCTAAGTGATCATGAAACAAAATATACATAGCCCATTTTCATTTTTATACTCATTTAAAAATAATTCACACAATTAAATTACATATATTTCAGGAAAAAAACATTCAAATAGAAAACCATGTCTTTAAAACCCATTGTTTTAGACACTGAAAAGATAAATAGCATTAACTGTATTCTCAGAAGTGTATATTTTGGTATTATTTATCAAGATATCTGTTTTTAAAGATTTTAAAAATGTATTTCCTTTAAAAACCTGAGATTTCAACATAGAATCCAATCTAAAATACACTTTCAATTAAGTAAAAGGCATTTATTATTTATATATACTAATGATAGAATTCAATATGTGTAAATACTATTTTCAGCATGGTTTCAAAGTCATATGATCAGGTTTGAAGTTGATGTTAAATACAGAACTAAAGATACTGAATTCTATTCTGTTCTATAAAACTCTCAAATAAATCTCAAATAAGGTAGCTAGTGATAGAATATATAAGTAGGCTTGAGTTGTGAAATTTCCTAATGGTTCTCAAAGGAATCAAGGTTTTGTCAGGATTTCTCCATTTCTGAGGCGCCTCCTGAACAGCTGAGACAATATGGTGAATGCTGTTAAAATTAGGAATGCTAGTGACCTCCAGTATCTATTCTCCTTCCAGGCTGTTCTGTCCATTTTGCCCTTTGGTTTAAAAATGAAAGAACTATGAAACACTAAAAATAAGGTGTTTTTTAAAACTGATCTAACATTAAGAAGAAATAGATGAATTCTATATGTACTAATGTGTTTTTCCCCCCTTACCTGTTTAATTCTACTAAATATTGATAATTCAACTTCTACTATTCTTATACAATTGTAACAATAAATTACAAGAAAATTGCCCAGTTACATATTTTAGAAATTCTGTCAGTTTTAAATATGATTTCTGTTAATCTAGCAGAAATCATGTGTTCTGTGGTTGAACCACCTATCGCTGCATAGTACACAACTGTTAAAATGTAAATTGCCCAACTATTTTTAGCTGCTGCTGAAAAAAAATGTCTGTCTTCCGGAATAATGATTTGAGGCATTGTGTTCATTTTGTTTATCAAGCAGCTATTCAGCCTCTAGTGGGCCCAAGTGCTTGCGCAAGCAAAAGCTTTTAAGAATGCCTGCAGCTGCAATCCAACCTTACAGGTAGGCTGCAGGTTCAGAGCGCAGCTGCCCAAGGCTGCATAAAACTCAGATCCATCTGGAACTGATTTTCAAAGAGGATTTCAAATTTGAGTTTTCATGTATCACAAGGAAGAGAAGGCGGGGGAAGAACACAGGAAAGAAGGAAAGCAAACAACCAAAAGATGATATCTCTACTTCAGCCTCAGTAAAATATGAAAAGCTCAACAAACCCATGCTGCTCCTTCTAGATTACGACTTGCCAAGCCGGATATTCCATTCTGCGCATACTTCGATGAGCGGTGACTCATCCAGCAGCACCTGCGCCCATGTGTTAAGTACTGCCAAATAAAAGCCCAACATCCATTTACACAACAAAGAGATGTACCCTACCAGGCTTTTGGATTGAGGCCCCACTCCCTATTTGCTCTAAGCAAAGGGAAAGGAAAAAATATCTTCCCTCCTCACACCAGGGATTTTTAAATTGTGGATTTATGATGTAGGTTAATTTACAAATACTTTTACTCTTTAAAAGAATAAAGTATATTTAATAGCATAAACACCCCTACAGCATTAGATTACCATGACCATTAATAATTGTTCACCAAATCTTTCCAGCCTCCTTCACGAACACTCTTAATTCTCTAAGGATACATTTTGGAGCAAAGAGGGATCAACAAACTAGTTGCTTGAAAGCTTTCCTGACGCTAGGCTGAAGTTAGGAAAGGCTTAATGAAGGCTTTAAAATCCACAAGGGTTTCACAATGTACATCTGACTTGGTGATTTATGCATATTAATAACCTCAGTCCTACTGAGGCAAGCTGAGCCGAACATGTCCTCGGAATCTTAATGTCTTTAGCTCCACTGGGATTATTACAAATGTAAATTTCTAAGATTCTCAGCTATTAATCTCTGTCTGTCCTCCTGTTCAGCAACATAATGACTAATTAAACATCAAAAGACCTGTACAGGAGATCTTCTTTGACAGCTACTGGCCTAGTCCTCTTCCCAAGAGGGGAATTCAATGACAGGGACATGGAGTAAAAGCCTATGAGTAAGCTACAAATCATCCAGAGAAATCTAAAAACCTAACATTAAATGCAGATTTATCTCAATCCATGGTTCCCTTAAGCAGCAAACTGATTACATGAAGTGTTCTTAATGACACCAGGCGAATATATCCTTATAGCCAGCAAATATTGAATATCCGAAATCAGTTTGTTTACCACAAAGTCAAAAAAATGGGTACTTACAGAAGAAGGCAAACCAGGAGGCACCTTTCTGACTTTCTTCGCTTGCAAAGGATCTGCACGGGGAAAACGGAATATTTCATCAACATTTGTATTAGAAAAGACCAGACTTCAAATGAACAGGAAATAAACTTTCCTCCTACTGCCTCTCTCGTTTTCTAATATTTAGGAATAAGCAAGAGAATACAGGGATGGGAGGCTCATTCTTCACAACTGGTCCCAGTGCAGAACAGGTCCTAATGAAGTGATATATTCTGAAATACATATCCCATAAATTTAGAAAGATGATGGCAAGCAAAGTGAAATAAGAAACAAACAACAAACTATAAGCATATGTGAGGGAAGGAAATTAATGTTTCTTAAATACCAATTACTACGTCTGGGCTCTACACTAGGCACTTTGCATCATTTATCTCAGTTCCATTTGCAGAGGGGTATTCTGTGCAGGAGACAATTTTCATAATATAACTCCTTAACACAGACATAAATGTAGTGTCCACATCACACAGAGAAACCAGTTTACTTTAACAATGTGTGGTTACAACTGCAACTTCAGCACCAATTACGGTACAATTTACCCTTGGGTTATATCTATTTCCAAGAAATAACTATATAGAGGAAGTATATTTAAGACATAATGTATAATATACTTATATCTAAGACATAAATGATTTATTAGTAAAAATGAAAACATCAATACTTTCATATGCCTACCCAGCCGTACTTGGTATTTTAAATTTTTAAAATATATATTATTAATTTTTTTTACAGATAGGAAGGGAGAGAGATAAGAGAGCTAGAAACGTCAATGGGAGAGAAACATCAATCAGCTGCCTCCTGCACACCCCCTACCAGAGATATGCCTGCAACCAAGGTACATGCCCTTGTCTGGAATTAAACCTGGGACCCTTCAGTCCTCAGGTCCGACGCTCTACCCACTGAGCTAAACCAGTTAGGGCTTGGTATTTTAATTTTACTATTTATAAAATTTAAAACTTGTTCTTATTTATTATAAAAAAAAAAGGTGGGTAATAAGTACAGCTTTCTAATATTTCGCAAAAAATGGATCAAATTCTGGATTTTTCAAAGGGGTTCACTATTAAAGAGAAAGCAGAAGAAGGCTAATGTAAAGTATAATTTATTTTTGAAAATTAAAAATGGGAACTAAACAAGCATGGTCTTTTCCTGGGTCACAGAAGATATGAAAGACATGGAGTTAAGAAAGAATGAAACCCATTTAAATTCAGGGTGGAATCTTCTTTTAAAAATATATTTTATTGATTTTTAACAGAGAGAAGGGAGAGTGAGAAACATCGATGAGAAATATAGAGCAGCTGCCTCCTACACACTCTTTACTGGATATGTGCCTGCAACCAAGGTACATGCCTTTGACTGGAATCGAACCTGGGATCCTTGAGTCCGCAGGCTGACGCTCTATCTGCTGGGCCAACTTGGTTAGGGCAGGGTAGGAATCTCTACAGTAAATACCCCAGGAGGTTACGAAGCACAACTTTATAATAGGATGTGGAAAAATTTTATACAATAAAAAGGGAAAAAGCATTCATTAGCACCCAAGTCACTAACCCAACAAGCAGCCTAAAGGTCCTTAAAGTGCCAAAAATAAACATCTGGCACGCTCTATATTTATAAAATTTACAGGCAAAATTTCCACTTTTTTGTATGAAGCTTTTCTAGAACCCAACTCTTCACAACTAATAATATAATAGAGCAAAAGCTACTCTAAACAAAGAGAGTCCAATGTACTGCTCCTATTAGTTTGAAGCTCATCATTCTATTATAGGGTAATTCTTAGAACATATTGCTATTTAGTTTAGGACTAAATAGAACATTTTCATTTATATTTTAATTTCATCATTAGTTGCCACAATACAATCACATACATAATGTGACATTTAAAAGCATGACTTTGGAATTCCCACTTCCGTTTAGAAGGGTTCAAAGTGTCATAGTTAAGAGAGGAAGCTGGCTGGATTAAAACTTCAGACTCATCATGTAACAGCTGTGTGAGTGTGGGCAAGTCACTTCACCTCTTGAGCTTCATACCTAAGATGGAAAAGTTGGCTACACCTCCTGGAGTTACTGTAATAAGATAATACACGAAACAGTGTCAGGGCAGTGCCTACAGAGAGTAGCACCATGAATTTTAGCCATTAGTATTAGCTTTACATTAAATCTGGCAAAATAATTATAAATTGGATAGTTACTTTTTTTTAACCTTGCAGATTCAAGGCCTCAAAAATTGGTTCAAAACTCAGAATTGTTCCTCTATTAGTTGCTTTCCCACATGCTCTCATTGGGGTTGGGTATTGAACCTGCAACCCAGGTAAATGCCCTTGACCAAGAATAGAACTCAAGACCCATCAGTGGGCAGGCCAATGCTCTAACCACTGAACATACTGGCCAGGGTAGATATACTTTATTTTGGTGGACTATATCTATATCTAATTTTTTTGACAGACAACTGTTTAGTTTTTATTTCATAATCATAAACTTAACTCTGCAATCCAGCTAGACTGGGAAGGGGTAAGGAAATTATGGAACCCAATGAAGTGTGGCAAGAACACAAAGATTATAGAACATTCCAAACAAATTGGGATGAAGAGGTGCTCTCCTGAGCTACAGAAGGAATGGTCTGATGGTTAAAATAAAACACAAGTCCAATTTATTAGAGCTGTCTACAGTCAGCAATGGTGATCTTGCTGGTATTGCCATTCCTGGACCCAAAGGGCTCCATGGCTGTCACAATACCCATGCCGTCTTTCACCTGGCTGAAGACCACGTGCTTGCCCTCCAAACACTCAGGCTTGGCAGTGAGGATGAAAAACTAGAACCGTTTGTGTCAGGTCCAGCATTTGCCATGAACAAGATGCTAGGACCTGTATGTTTTAGGATGAAGTTCTCATCCTCAAATTTCTCCCCATAGACGGACGCGTGTGAAGGAAATGGCGTGTGAAGTCACCACCCTGGCACATAAATCTCCGAATAATTCTGTGAAAGCAGGAACCTTTATAACCAAATCTTTTCTCCCCAGTGCTCAGAGCATGGGAGTTTTCTGTTGTCTTTGGTACTTTGTCTGCGAACAGCTTGAAGGAGACGCGGCTCAAGGGCTCGCCATCAACAGCGATTTCAAAGAACACGGTGGGGTTCACCATGGCTGGTCACAGGCAGCTCCAGGATGAAGGCGTCTGCAAAGCCTAGCCTATATATTTCTTTACAAGCTGGTCTACCTTAATACAAACATGCTTTACAACTTCAATTTTCCTGTATAAAGGATTCTTTTGTAGGAATCACCAAAAATGCCACAAACAATGATTAGATAAGGCATCAGAATATACCTGAAACTTGCTGTAAGAAGCAAAACAAAATAGATTGGCTTTGATAGGTAATGCATAAAGAAAAGAGGGCTGACTGCTTAATAGGTACTGTCTTTTTTTTGCCTTTTAAAATGTGGCTTGCGATTTTTAAAATGCTTTTATTGATTACAGAGAAAGGAAGGGAGAAGGAGAGAGGGACAGAAACATCAATGATGACAGAGAATCACTGATCGGCTGCCTCCTGGGATCAAGCCCGTAACCCCAGCCGTGTGTCCTGACTGGAAAACAATGACCTCCTGGTTCAGAGGTCGATGCTCAGCCGCTGAGTAACAGTGGCCAGCCTGTGTTTCCTTTTAAGGGGATGTTTTGGAACTAGACAGAGATGACAGTTGAACAGCATTGTGAATATACAAAATGCCACTGTGTACTTTAGTATGCCTGTACACTTTAATAGGATTAATTTTACACTTTTACTTTTACCTCATTTTAAGAAAATGTGGGGAGTGGAAGCAATTAATATGCAAAGAACATTGAAATTGGAGTCAGAAAATTTTAATTTTATTCTGTGAAAGTCACCTACTAATTATATGAATGTGTCCTCTTTTGAGTCTCAGTTTTATGTTAAATCTAGTATTGTATCCACTGCCTAGCATTGATGAGATGAGAATGTATATAAAACCACTTTGTAAACTGTTCAGCATTATGACAATTTTAGTAAAAGATATGAGCAGAGAAAACACAAATGAGCAGACACATTTATGAGGAAAAACTAGTTCCATTTTTAAGTTTTCAGTCCCTCCTATACTGATGACCAAACAACAGTATTAAATTGTTTATTAAATATCTAATAGATGTATTATTTTATGTAAATAAGCCCCAATATCAACGTGATACCCAAGAAATCAAATTTCTTGCCAGAAGAGACTAAGGGTGGGGAGAAGCATTTGTAGGATGGGTTTGTCTGTGATACACTCACCAAGTGCTGCAGAGTCATGGAGTGGTCTTCTCCTGGAACTTGTGGCAGAGAATGAGTAGTATGGCGTCCCAGGTTTTCCTGAAGAAGACAGCTGTGCTGGGCTTCCAAGCCCTATATCTTGTCTCAGGAGACTAGACTGTAAGACAAGGCAAAGGAACCAAGTTATGTTCCCACTGATAATGACCCAAACCTGAAAATTTCAATACTTTTAAATTATTCATAGTACCTTCAACAATGTCTTGAATTTAAGAAGCATCCAATAAGTACTTGTTTAAGCATATATTTCTTTTTCCCCACCAGTGGAAATAACTATGTGGATCCATATAATCTTTTTAAAAAAATATATTTTATTGATTTTTTACAGAGAGAGATAGAGAGTTAGAAATATCGATGAGAGAGAGTCATCGATCAGCTGCCTCTCGCACACCAACTACTGGGGATATGCCTGCAACCAAGGTACATGCCCTTGACCGGAATCGAACCTGGGACCCTTCAATCCCCAAGCCGACGTTCTATCCATTGAGCCAAATCGGTTTCGGCTGGATCCATATAATCTTAAGGTTGAAAGACACTATAGTTTCTATGTGGTTCCACCCATTCACCATCAAGAATGTTAAAAAAAAAAAAAAAAAAAAAAAAAAAGGTCACCCAGTCTTTGCTTGAATGCTTCCATGACCACATATGTGTCAATTCTGTTCCTTTCCTATTCTCTTTCTGGATAGCTCTCATTGTTTGAAGACTACCAGTATTTTCAAGACCAGCCATTCCTTTGGTAGGTATCACCAAAAACTCCCATACTTAAACAGTAATTAGATAAGGTGTCACCTTCAACAGTGTCTCCTGAAGGGTTTGAATATCCTCCTCATTGTCCCTGACACAGTGACAGATTCTGGATATATTTTCAGTTTATCAAAGTCTCTTGTAAAATGAAATGGAGGATATTATGTCAGATTATTGCAGAGTAGTTTTTAAACCACATTTGTGCTAGCTTAAATTGAAAGGTGAACAGTTATCACACCCTATTATTCTATTGCTGCAATTAAGTCACGTTCCTAGGTACACATGTGCTCCTGACCCTAAGTCCATGCCGACACTCTAACCACTAAGGCAAACCGCCATAGCCTGTTTACTTATTTATTCATTTACTTATTTTGTTAAACCTCACATGAGGATATTTTTCCCATTGCTTTTTGGGGAGTGAAAAGGGTGGGGGAAGACAGAAACATTGATGTAGAGACACACATGGCCTGGTTGCTTCCCACATGCGTGCCAACTGGGGGCAGGAAGGGAACCACAACCCAGGTATATGCCCTTGACAGGGAATGGAATCCAAAACCCTTAGATGCTCGGGCTAATCTTCTAACCTCTTAGCCACACTGGTCAGGGCCTGTCTTCTTTTTAATGTAGGCACTTATAATACAACTATAAATTTCCCTCTGATTACTGCTTTCGCTTCATCTCATTTGTTTTGTTATATTGTCTTTTCATCTTCACTTGATATTTCATTTTTCTTAAAAGCCTATTCAACAATGCTGAAGCACAAACAGAATGGATGGGCATGGACAGCATTATGCTAAGCGAAATAACCCAGTCAGAGAAAGATAAGTATCGCATGATCTCACTCATTTGTGGAATATAATGAACAACATAAACTGATAAAAATAGATCCAGAGACAGAGAAGCATCGAACAGACCGCCAAACCTCAGAAGGAAGACCTGAGGGGGAGAGGGGGGGAGGTGGAGAGAGAAGGGGAAAGACAGAGATACGAGATCAACCAAAGGACCTGTATGGATGCATATAAGCATAACCAATGGACACAGACACTAGGAGGGTGAGGGCATGTACTAGGGGGTGGGGGAAAGGAGATTATGTAATACTTTAGTAAGTCAATAAAGAATTTTTAAAAAATGCCAAAGCATACATTAAGTACTCAAAGTACTAAACCAGGTAAAGATCATTCAATCTTTTAGAAATGCTTATAATTAAAAATTTTTCCCAGACTCCTCAAAACGTAAATTCTTCTTTTAACAGAGGTGAAACCTTCTTGATAAAGGAGAAAAGTGAAAAGAAAATTTCAAACACCAGATAATATGATGTGTACATGAAAAGAATGCATAGTATTATTAATGTAATTATTTAGCGTTAAGTACACAAATTCTAACAGATACAAAGTTCTACAGATTAAGAAAGAGGTGGCCCTGGCTAGTGGCTCAATTGGTTGGAATGTCCTCCCATACACCAAAAGGTTGATGGTTCGATTCCAGGTCAGGGCACATTACTAGGTTGCAGTTTTGATCCCTGGTTAGGCTATATTTGGGAAGGCAACTGATCAATGTTTCTTTCTCTCCTTTCCTCCCTCTCTAAAATCAATAAAGATATCCCTGGATGAGGATGAAAAAAAAATAAAGGAGAAAGATATAATTACCAGACATAAAGGAGAAACAATACTCCTTAAAATAATAATCCAGGAGAAATGATAAAATTGAGAAAATCAATATAAATGTAAATAACACATGCATTCTTTCTATTTCTGTAGCAAACATTTTTGCAATGGATCTCCTGATTATGTCAAAGTGGTACTGACATTTCATTGTCACGTATGCTTTGTACTTTTCTTTCTTTTTTGCCCGGGCTAGGCACATTCAACATTCCTCAAATAGCAATCAAAATATGGCCCAGGGTGTTGGATAGGACATATTATTACCACAGGCCAGGGGTCATGTACCTTGAAATTTTCCTTTAAATAATAGTCTTTTAGGATGTTTCCTGATCAGAGAAAAACTGCCTTCCATATCATGTTTTGAGACATCTGCTGTATTTATTACTTCATCTGCTTTTTCTCATACAGAAGGCACGTATGAAACTGGTCACTGTACATATACAAACAAATACACAACAGGAACTGGGCATTCATATGTCTTTTAACAGTGCTCCTTACAAATTTCCTTGGCATATGAATTCTAATTGGCATATAAGATAATGATTTATACAAAGGGTCAACAATTTAATTTGCAGGTCAAATTGAGCCTGTTTCAAAAATATTTTTGTTGGAACATAGTCTCACCCATTCCTTTAATTATTGCCTATGGTTGTTTCTGTGCTATAATAGATAAACTTTCATATGAGTAAAATGTAGCCAGTGAATCGCTGAAACCAGTTTGGCTCAGTGGTAGAGCATCGGTCTGCGGACTGAAAGATCCCGGGTTTGATTCCGGTCAAGGGCATGTACATTGGTTGCGGGCACATCTCCAGTAGGGGGTGTGCAAGAGACAGCTGGTTGATGTTTCTCTCTCATAGACGTTTCTAGCTCTCTATCTCTCTCCCTTCCTCCTCTCTGTAAAATATCAATAAAATATATTTTAAAAAAATGTAGCCAGTGAGTTATTTCTTCAAAGAAGTCAAATAATAGTCATAATAAAGGTTAACAGGCGCATAAAATAATCTGTCATGAATAGGAAAGCTCATCCTATTAATAAAGAGGAAATAAGCTAAATGACTATCATGTCCTCACAAAGATGGCAGCACCCACAGCCAATAAAGAGGGAATATGCAAATTGACTGACACATCCTCAAATATGGCAGCACCCATAGCCACAAGATGGTTGTGCCCAGTCCCTTCACCGGGGGCCCAGGCAGGCCTGGCTGCTCCCCACTCCCCAGTTCCGTTGGCCCCCCAGCTGCTCAAGGCCGGCCCAAAGCACAGGTAAGCCTCATATGTTGGCTGCCCAGCCAATGCCCAAGGTGCTTGTAAGCCTCAGATGGCAGTGCACAGCTACCCAGGGCCAGCCTGAGGCTCAGGTAAGTGGCAACAGCTGAGGTGTGATGGGGGCGTCACCTTCCCCTGATCGCTGGGTCGCCTCCTATCCCTGAGGCCCCCTGGATGTGAGAGGGGGCAGGCTGGGCTGAGGGTCCCCCCTTCCAGTGGATGAATTTTCACACACCAGGCTCTAGTTTCTTATAAGCTTAAAAGTAGATGAAATGTTTACAAAAACCGTATGTCTTGAAATAAGCATGAGCTTCATAGTTAGCTACCCTGAGTTTAAATGCTGACTGTACGATCTGGGGTAAACTACCTAACATTAATGCATCTGCTTCCTTTTCTATTAGGGGATGTATTATCAATTAGTTTACAGGGTTGCTGAGAGAAGTAAATAAGGATTTAAATAAAACTAAGCATGGTTGTAGAACTTAGTGAAAACAAAACAAAACCAAAAAATGATTACCACATTCTAAGTATCACAAAAGAATGAAAATAAGATGAATGACATTTTAAATTATTCCCTGGGCACAAACTCTTTGTCCTAAAGTAGGAGACCTTATGTGCCCTGAGTCAAGGGTATTAGAAACAGCAAAGAGGACAGACAGACTTCAGAGGGTTGACAATTGGAGGCTAAATCCTAAGAGGAGTGTGACAGATTCAAACTGTTTCAATTTAAGTGAAGAATAAATTGACATATGACAATTTATTTCTCAAAATGATTAAACTAAAGTAATTTTGCATAAACCCACCTTTAGCATCTAAACATATAGACACACATTGAGTGAAAGAAAAGGAATGGTGAATTATACGAGTGAGGTGAAATGTTAATTAATGAATCTTGGTTAATAAGGACATGATGCTCATTGTACCATTAATGCATGTTTCCTGTAGATTTGCAATTTTTCAAAATAAAAAGTTAGATAAAATCAGAATAAATATCAAGGATTCACTAGCACACTTTCAATTTTATCTCAGTTAATGTTTACTATGACCATAATTATTACATAAATTTTACAATACAAGTTTCTTTCTTCTACAATAGTCCACGAACCTAATTACCATGTAAAAGACTGTTAACTTGAAAAAATAAGTGATGTGTATATGAATTTGTGGATAATAGTTCTAAAGCGTGTAACCCACAGAATATTATTGGTAGGCTTTGCACATATGCAAAAAATAAAGGGGCGGGGACGAAAAGTTTTTTGGGACAAAAAAAGTATGCTTGCTAACAATTTCAGGATTGCTGCAAACTTTTTCCTTACTATAGACAAATATGGAGATGTGGTTAGAAAATAAATACTCTGTCTTGTTTCATATTGAATTTTAATGCTCCCCATAAACTGAGAAGCTGTCCTAATCACAGAAATAACCTACT